GAGGAACTGGATATCAGTGCATTGCTGTTCGTGCTTTGTGAAAAACTGAGGATAGCTCATACCTTTCTGAATCAAAATAGCAGTTCAGAAATCAGATTGACTTGTTGAAATTACTCAGATGTAATTTCGTGAAATCTAAAACATAAACGAAAACAACATGAGTCAAAACCAAATTCAAGATGAAAAGAGAATGACTGCCATTAAACTTAAATCTTGGATCAATAAATATCAACTCCTGACTTCATTCTAATCGTGTCTATGATTTGCTTGTTCTTTTAAGATTATCTTGCTCTTCCTCAGATAAATAAAACTTTGAAATGCTAATTAAGAAAACTAAGACTTCAGCCTTGAGATACCTCAGGGGTCACTCAAATTAAAAATGAATGAAACTTTCACCTAAAAATACACCTTGCACCTCCTGGAAGCACTGTCTCAAAATCTAAAGGGAGCATTCCATCGTCGAAGCAAAGGAGGCCACCTTCATGTAGGATAGGTTAGTCAAGAGCAGTCTCTGACATTAATCCAAGGTCATGGGTACTGCCAGTCGGACACCCGAGGCAGTCAGGTTCTCAGAGTCCATATCTCAGCAGTGCGGTGAGCGGGTCACAGTCAGCCCAGTGGGAGACTGAACCCAGTCTGGGAAGTGGGGACAAAACAGCTGGGAAACTGTACAGACATTATTTGGATGTCTGGTCACTCATTGCTCACACTGTCGGTCAAGGTCACTCATAGGGGTTGCCACATCAGTCCTCGTTGTGCTCAGTGTTATTACAACTGAGAACTGTCTGACTCTACGGTCAGACTGTTGCCATTGATGCTTTTCACTGGTGTCATGCAACACTGATGTTTTATATTGTAGGATATGTCAGAGATGCATATGAGCAAATGGAACAAAGGAGCCGGCAAAGTTCCTTGTGAGTTCTGGAACAAGTGAGTCAATGCCTGACTGAATGTCGGGAGACGACGCACTGGATTGAAGCTTGTGCTTTGTGAAAGAGTAATGATAACTAATACCTTTCAGAATCAAAGTAGAGTGGAGTCCGAGGAATGACAACGATGAAGTATCGTCAAATCTAAAAGACAAATGAAAACACCATAAAAGTGAAGGCCAAATTCAACATGAAAAGAGAAAGAGTACATCAAAT